TGGCTTTGGCCTTTGCTTTGGGGGCGGCTGTCTCGGTAGGCTCAGGGGTCTCGGTCTCCTTATCCGCCTCGGCATTCTTTTTGCCCCTTCCACGACCTTTGCCGCCTCTGCCTCTGCCACCCTTCGCCAGCTTCTCAGCCCTGTCAACAGCTGTAGCAAGGCGGGCCGCCTCTGCAACCTGATCAATGAAGCATAATTACAATCCAGAGAATAATGCATGTAGACGTATAATTGCACAAACCAGCTGACTGCACCATGATGTGTTGTCTAGGGGCCTTCCTCTGCTCAGCAAGAGCATCGAAATCCTGGTCCACATCAACATCCTCCAGCTCTCGAAGAATCTCATCCCCCAGCTTAGTGCTCGGACTCACCACCTGGACCGGTGGCCGTGTTGTTGTCTTTGCCTCAGTCTAATGACTATGCCAGTCCTAGTAATTAGTCCTAGTAGTAGCAAGTCGTATAATAATGCCAGGAAGCTGCAGGCAAGCCATCATCGACCAACATTATCTGCGTCTCCAGATTGTCCATCGTCGGCATTGCCTAGGCAATTCAATATTATTAACCCGACTCCACATCAACCTTGACATTATAAGACAGGTTATGATCAGTTCTGGCCTGCTTGGCAGGCGGCGGCGTCGGTGCATCGAAGATGCTCAGCGGATCTTCTGAGCCGTCAACCTGCCGGCTGGGATAAGTACTGTTGATGATATAAATCCTGCTAAGGACCCTAAGCTATGGGATTCATGGTATATTCCTTATATTATTGGGTCGTGCAGGATTTATATCATCAACCGTAGCTCATATGGGTCTTGGTTCAGTGATTCAGAACAAATTTATATTCTAGATGCGATCATGAGAGACCGGGCACAAATCAAAGGTAGAAAATTCTATGGCCAGGCAGGGGTTCCAGGGTTTAGCCCTAGCTACGGTTAAGGCTTCTTTAACTATATTGCTAATTATCTATAGACCACCCCTCGAACCTCCATCTTTGCGTCATCGACTGCTTCATCTTCGAGTGACGAAGGGGAAGCACTTTCCGGTGCCCCGGTCTCCTGCACATCATAAGGGTTGAATTTTATATATTAGCTAGCGGTCCTTGAAGATTCGGGGCTTGGTCCATGCTATTGCCTTACATTGGGGTCTAGGGCCGAGGTCTATATGCAAACTACAAGTTAAAGGTCGGGGGTTTGGGGGTGGGGTAGTATTGCGAGCGATCCGAATGCTCGCCTGCGCTGCGGCACTCAGCTGGGCATCGATGGCCTTGTCCACATCATCTTCACCATCGCATTCGGAACCTGTTGCACATGCATCTAGAATCATGATAGTGCTTCTCCTAGCTGAGTTCGTGGTGTTGCAAATTAAAGACGGCCTTTTATGATTAAGGCCCATGCTGAGACTCCAGTGTGCACACTGCATACCCGCTAGATTCAACCCCAGCAAGCCCTGAGAAATATCGTTCAAATGATTCAGTGTTCGAATGGAATAAGTTTATAGACTTTTATTTTCGTGGGGTTTAGGGCCAGGTATACAGTTTTATTGGTCTTTCGACCCGACACACACGATAGCTATGATCGGACCGACTCAGCTCGAATCCGGGGCTGACCTTGCTTGAAGCTACCGCTGCGAATAAAAAAATCAAGCTAATGCCTCGCCTCCCAGGCAGGTTCGAATGACGTCCTTCAGAATGTTGATCTTCTGTGTCCTGATCAGGATGTAGATATCGATGAGTATAGTAAATCATAAACGTACACACATGGCTTCGCACTGTAATGCAGTGAAGCAGCCTTGCACCTTTGGACCGTCTGGCCAGGTAGAGCCCATGGATACACATGCTTCGGAGGATAGCTGCTTGAATCGAAGCCCAAGCCTGCCGGGAACCCACAAAAAATCGATCGGTTAACCTAGCCGGATGCTAGCCTTCACTCTTTTCCTCGGTGTCGTGTTGGGCCACAAGCAGTAGCGCTTGTCCAAGAGGATCAGGATTTCCTGCGGCGAATACTTATACTTAGTATCTCTATGCGTGTGAATGTGCACTCTGGGAAGCTCCTTGTGCAACCTGAAGATCGGCACAACACCAGAGAAAGTTGCATAATAGCTGCAGAGGAAGGCATACTCCTGATGCACCTTGTTGTAATAACAGGCCGCTGCAGTAGGACACACACACAAACACTTTAGATGCAAGCTCGGAATCTAACCATGGCGGCCGAGTCCGGGCCACACTCTGGCACCACAAACAAGTCACGTTCCTGCTTCAACAATATATGCACAGTGTCGTACATGCACCGGTCAAGCCCAAGTCCTGCCGTTTCCGTATCTCCGGCAACATGTTGGCATCGTCCGTCAAGAAGCTGTTTAAAAGATCCTGCATAAATGTACCGGGATGAACATGCACACACATCGTGGATAACCGAGTCCTCCAACAACAGCTTTTGCACTCGTCGCATTTCCTGGGTAGCCACGGGGTCCATGATCCTCGCCTGCGAGAGGTGAGCCGATACGGGGGAAAAATGAAAAGGCTACAATCCCGGGGGCCTCAGCTAGACAAAGTCGCTAGCGTGGAAGATCGGAAGGGGCTTTGCAACACTAGTGCTCGAGCACACAGCATCGACTTTCAATACGACCATGCAGCACTGCATCATGCACTTGCACAGCTGAACTTGCACATGCGCTGTTGCACCACAGCCAGGGTGGGAGGAGCACCCCAAAAGAAAGTTGCGGTCGCCGGAGATCGCGACCGTTCTCTATCTGGCTGACCACCGGCACCGGAGCCTTAAATAATCAAACAAGCAAGATGCACCACAACATTAAACCGAACTCCAAAGCAATGTGCATCAAGCCACCCGATCGCTCTGCAGTGGCCGAAAGTCGCCCGCTGGAACCTTAAATCGATATAGCTCGTGCACATGCATTGCAACGAACCTGCAGATAACATGATCACACATATATCAGTACATGTGGCTGCTCGCTCTTGGACCAGCTGGCTGCAGCCCACGGTAACCTCGATATCGTACTGGACAATACGTGTGCAGCACCACTAGCAAATCGATTTAATTTAATCTCGTGGCTGCTCGACGTCGATGCTGCAGAACCAGCCGGCTGCCCACCACCAGGAGAACCTCGGCACCAGCTATCACTCAGGATATCGATATATCGATCCTTGCCCAAGCACACAGCAACACAGCAACGAGCTGATTTTAGACTGGTGGCTGTTCCTGCCAGCAGAGGATCCCGAAGCAGAAAATTTCGCAAGCCCACGACGCATGCTGGGCGAAACGGCCACTGCACTGCTAAGTGCATGCTATCTGTATCTACTCGCACAAACCACATGTACACAGCACCGATGCTCATGTCCTCGGATTATGGTCTGGGTATTAGAGGCGATATGGTCTGGGTTTGGGCTTTATAGTAAGGGCTTTTCGGCTTATGGGTCAGGGCATAGCTTGGGGTTCGGCTTTCAGCATACTGGAGGCGTAGTTGTTTAAATAGCTAGCGAATTATAATAGGGCTTTCGGCATTTTAGGGGTCCGGGGTTTATGTGCTAAAGCTTGCAGTCGGCTTTCACCACTGCCGCCTTCAGCCAAAATTAGCGATCGACCCTTAAACTGAAGCTGAACACCATCCCAAAACAAACGGTTCGACCATGCAGCTGTTGACTACAAGGGCCCGAAATTATAGATTTTCGGGATACATAGAGTTGTTGTTATGGGGATTTAGCGCACTGTTATAAATTTGTATACTTTGGGACATGTCGGTTTTGCGGAAAGGAGTGGTTAACGTACGTCGACAAATTTTGCATGCATACGTTGCGCACGCAACAGGGGCTGTCATATGCACGTTGGCACTATTTATAGTCACGGATTGGGAGGGTAAGGTCTCATCTCCACCGCTCCGGGGGCTCACCCCCAACGAGTTCTTGATGATTAGATACTTGGGTGGCTGTCAAACTTCTGTCCCTTTTTGGGGGTCCCTATTATAATACGGCACCTAATATTTAGGGTACCCAAAAATACCCTAAACCCTAAACCCTAAACCCTAAACCCTACCCAAAAATACCCTAAACCCTAAACCCAAAAATACCCCAAACCCTAAACCCTAAACCCCAAAATACCCTAAACCCTAAACCCCAAAAAGGGACCCCAATTCTGCCGACCACCCACTTGGACCCTAGCTCGGCTTTTCAACTCCCGGGCCGGAGGCCCAAAGGCCTGGACAGTAAAGGCCACCTTACCCTAGGCATCTAAGGCCCTTTAAGGGGATCTATAATGGCTAGAAGGGTTTAGGGTTCAGGGTTTAGGGTAGGGTTACAGTAGAAGCCCAAAAGTTGGAAACCCAATAGCCTAAGTCCTTAAGAGTCATGCATAGGGAATCCCAGCACTATTTGGCCTTAATCCGGTTTCCAACTTTATGGAGCTTACCCTGGGCATCTAAGGACTCATATGGGTGGCTGTGAAAAGTAGGGTCCCTGTTTTGGGTACCTTGAATATTAGGTGCCGTACTGTATTAGGGACCCAGAAAGGGACCATAATTTTGATAACCACCCATATATTGAGGATGTTGGGCCCAAAGACTATACTAGAAAAGGCTTTTCAGCTATGTTGATGCCAGGGCTAGTGGGCTTAGGATTTTTTCGATTCTATAGAAACCTCAACTAATCCTAACTTCCGGAAACTCTTCCGGCTCAGAAACCTACAAGCCCCAACCTGCGCTCTAAAGCATCCTCAGCCATGCTCAGCCCTAAACCCCAAAACCCTAAACCCTCCCCTAGGGTTATTTAGGGTTCAGTTTAGGTTTCGGGGTTTAGGGTTAGGGCTTAGAATTTAGGGTTTAGACTTTGGTGTGTAGGATATAGGTTTTACGGTTTAGGGTTACAGTAAATCCCATAAAGTTGGAAACCGGATTAAGGCCAAATAGTGCTCGGATTCCCTATACACTACTCTTAAGGATTGAGGCTATGGGGTTTCCAACTTTTCAGCTTCTACTGTAAGGGGCCCGAGCCGGGCCTAGTTGCATGCGCTCACTGAAAACCTCTGAACTCGACAGCTTGGCCGCGCTGGCCAAAGGCCTCGAACACGCCCCCGTTCTTTGAGCTTTTGACGTGAGCTTTCTACGGTGCTGTATTCAGAATCTGTAGAGATTCAGATTTTATGTGCATTATGTTGCGTTTTTCCAGGGGGATGATGTAGGTTCCTTCTGTACTTTTGGTTTGGATTTCGAGACTAGGGTTCAGGATATGGGTGTAGTGTTTATGATTCAAAGCTTCTAAATCTTGCGAGATTAATCCTAGCCAAAAGACTTTAACCTAATGGCCACATTCTAACCTTAGGGCTCAACATAGCCCAAAAGCCTTATATAGTATGGTCTTTGGGCCCCTTATATAGTATGGTCTTTGGGCCCAGAAGCCTTAAAATTCGAGTCCTTAGAGCCTTAGGATAAGGTATCGGGTGTCAGGCCATCCGGCGTTAAAACCTGGGGCTGTTTCAATTCCATGAAGAACATGACCCCAGCGTCGATCCCACATTGCAACAAGGTTCTCGCCAGCAAACCGCCTAAACAACAGATCGATACCCCAGAAAAGGCACAATAACAAACCACAAAAACCCCACTCAGAAGATTGAGGCAAACCTTTACGCTCTAAGCCGCCTAAACTATGTGGACCTATGTACTTGGAGGTCCATGGGTAGTTATACATGGCGTTATAAGTCCCTGAATACGGGTTTTAATTATGGATACCTTACTACTTATAACTCTACTTACAACTACCCCTGACCCTCCAAGTAGGCCCTTAACCCTATACCCCCTATCGAATTTCTATAGATCCCTTTTAAGAAACCCTTAAAGGAACCCTTATAACTACCCCTGACCCTCCAAGTAACCCTTATAGATGCCATTAATTATAGGAACCCTTATAGATCCCTTTTAAAGGAACCCTAGACCCTAAGGCTCACCTTGCTATCCTGTAAGTAACCCCTGACCCTCCAAAAACTCTAAACCCTAAACCCTAAACTCTAAACCCTAAACCCTAAACCCCTAAACCCTAAACCCTAAACCCCTAACCCCTAAACCCTAAACCCTAAACTCTAAACCCCTAAACCCCTAAACCCTAAACCCTAAACTCTAAACCCCTAAACCCTAAACCCTAAACTCTAAACCCTAAACCCCTAAACCCTAAACCCTAAACCCTAAACCCCTGCTGAAAGCAACCGCTTTCCGGCCAAGGCGCTGCGAGGCATTGCGGTGACTCCCGGCCTGCAGTTCGGGGTTACAGGGTTCCCTTTAAAAGGATTTCCCTAAGGGTCCAAGTAGTTCCTATTTATGGTTTTTGGTATCTAAGCAGGCCCTAAAGTCCTATAATAGGGAGTACTTGGACCCTCCGGGTTTTATAAGGTTCCATAAGGGATCTATAGGGTTTAGGGTTTGGGAGTTTAGGGAGTTTAGGGCTCAGGGGCTTAGGGTTTTATTTGGAGGTGTAGGGTTGAGGAGTTTAAAGTTTGCCAGGAACCCGCAATGGCCCTTTGATGGAGCCTTTATTGTCCTTAAAAGTGGGTATTTAGGGTACAATAGAGGGTATTGGGGTCTAAGAAAAACCGTTGGGTTTAGGGTTAGGGTTCAGGAAACTGGGATACTTCCAGGATTTCTGTAAGGGTTTAGGATTTCGGGCTCTTGGAGTACAGGGCCCTAGGGATCTAGGATTACATGGCCGTGTTTCCAGAGCCCGCAACCTTGAACCGAAAGCAGCCCCAAACAGCTGCAGAAGCCATATCCTAAACCCTAAACCCTAAACCCTAAACCCTAAACCCTAAACCCTAAACCCTAAACCGCAAACCCCTTAACGACCTTGATTAACCCCTAGACCCTCAGAGACTCCTTTAAAGGAACCCTTGTAGACGCCTTAAGAGAGCCCTAAGCCCTATAAGCTAAGGAAATCCTAATAGACACCTTCAAGAGACCCCTTCAAAGGAGCCCTGAGCCCTAAGGTAAGGAAATCCTTATAGACGCCTGTAACAAAATTCTTGAAAGGAGCCCTAAACCCCTAAACCCCAACCTCTAAACCCAAACCCTATAGAACCCATATGAACACCTTTAAAGGAAATCCCAAAAGCCTTAAACGAGGCTCTACTTCAAGGATCATGGGACTTAGTAACTAGGGTTATAATGAAGGTAACTATACTCATAACTACTTATAACCCCAATTAATGTACTTATACCCTTACTTTCTAAGCCCCATGATCGGGACTCTTAATGGGACCCCTAATCTATAACGGGCTATATAATGGGTATAATAATAGCTACATTAAGGGTATATACCTAGGGGTCCTGATTTAAGGGTCCCTCCTGTTACCCTTGGATACACACCCTGATCCCTGATAGATCCCATTCTGGGAACCCTTATAGCTCCCTTTTAAAGGAACCCTACACCCTAAGCCCAAAAGCGAAGCTCTAAGCCCCTATTTGCCCCCTAAGCCCTAAACCCCATAGATCCCTTTAAGGAACCCACATAGATCCCTTTTAAGGAGCCCCTACACGGCCTTCTTCAAGGCCCTCAGGGATGCGCTAAGCGCCGCACTGGCCTCGGGGGTTTCATGCGGATGCTTGGACTCAGAGAGGAAGCCTAGGGCTCCTTTAAAGGGATCTATAAGGCTACCTTTAAGGGGCTCCTTTAAGGGATCTATAGGGTTTAGGGTTCCTTTAAAAGAGGGATCTATAAGGGTTCCTATAATGGGATCTATAAGGGCTTAGGGTCTACTTGGAGGATCATGGGACTTAGTAAGTAAGGTTATCAGTTATAAGTACCTTAGTTGGGGTTATACAAGTAGTTATGAGTATAATTACCTTAATTATAACCCTAGTTACTAAGCTCCATGATCCTTTAAGTAGGGTTCCCTTGAAGGGATCGATAAGGGTTCTATGGTTCTATAAGAGATCTACGGGGCTTTAGGGTTTTCGGGGTCAGAAAGGACACAGGGTGTAGGGTTTAGGGTCTATAAGGTTCAGGGTTTAGGGTTCAGGGTTTGGGGTTCAAGGTTTAGGGTCTGCAAGGTTTAAGGATTAGGGTTCAGGGTTCGTGGTTCAGGGCTTTGCATTTAGGGAGGAAACAGGGCTTAGGCAGTGCAATGGGGTCAGGGATAACTCCCAACCCCCGAAGCTCCAAACCTCACTCTAAACCCGACCGGGACCCCAAATGGACATGAAATAAGAAAATCGTAAGATGGAGTACGCCGGCATGACTGGCTCGTGCAGCTACGGCAGCACGGAAGTTGAGAGCCACAGCCCGACGCATTCACCACAAAACCACTTCTGTCTCGTATCATGCTCGCCAAGTGCCTGGGATATTGAGCTCCCACGCAAGCATAGCTCAAGCACAGGCCGTCTGTTGGCACTGCTTGCGGAGCTCCTTCCGGAAGCGTTGGTGCTCCTGCGTAGCCACGGCTTTCAATCTCCTCTTGTGTTGCCACCGTGCCTTGACTCAGTGGGTCGTAAGGAGTTGCTGCGGCTAACAGCGCAGATGCTCTTTCGGAAGATTCCCTTCTTAAAGGAACCCTTATATAGACCCCTTATAGTAACCCTGTAGACCCTTTAAAGGAACCCTATACAGCATCCTCATAGATCCCTTATAATAACCCTTAGAGGAACCCAGGGACAGGAGCTCTTCACCCTCAAAGGCTCTACGGGCGCAAATGTTTTAAGTGTTTGTTAAGTGTTTTTTTGGCTCAAACGTACCGTGGAGGGTTCGGCTCGCCTGAACCTTAAGGTAGGGTTCGGGGGTTGAGGTTTTAGGTCTAGGGGTTGAAGTTGAATTTTTGGGGGTTGAGGTTTTAGGGCTTAGGGGTTGGAGGATTTTGGGGTTTAGGGGTTCAGGGTGAGGGGTTTAGGGATTTAGGAGCTCAGTCAGGGGTTTAGGGGTTCAGGGCTTGAGGTTTTGGGGTTCGGCGGTTGGGGTTGAGGGGTTTATAGGGCTTAATGACACCCTCATGTCACATCTGCAACAGGAATGCAAGGCCAACCTTCGCGCAGAAAGAACTCTTTCCCTAATCACAATGATAAGGCTTCCCAGTAGAAAAACCCTACCCGAAGTGCCAAAACAACTCAAGCCACGAACAAACTATCAAGAAACCCCAAGGCAGTAGCCCAAACCCAAACCCTAAGCCTGAACACCAAGAAACCCTGAACCCTATACTCTAAATCGCGAAATGCCGAAACCCGACACAAAAGAGAATATAAAAAAAACAAAGGCCCGGGCTGATGTCGGCAGGACATCCTTCGGATCATGTTGACATGGTCGTGAAATTTAGACATTCTGCGGGTTGTGAAGGTTTTGGAGTCAGGGCTTAGCATTTGCAGGCCCCCACTTTTCTGGGGGCTTAGGGTTTAGGAAGGTGTATAGCGAACCCCAGAAGGTTGGAAAATGGGTTTACGATGGTTAGTGCTGTAATGTTCCAACATTTTGGCTACTGCTGTAGGGTTTAGGTTTTGGGGTTTAGGGCATTCCTTCCTTCTCGAAGCTTCACGGACCTAATAGTCGAAGACGCACCTGCTCCACACATCTTTGGCGTGCTAGGACCCAATCACGGAGCTGCGTCTGCTGCTCACTCGTCGTTCATTCTCAAAGGAGTTTGGACGCATACATCGCAGTATTCTCATGTGAAAAGTATTTGCACTCGGACGATCCGGGATATAGGGAGACATCTGAGATCATGTATCTCCTATATAAGGCGTCTGGGCAAGTAGGCTACAACGGGGGGGTTATCTGTGTCCGAAGTACGGTTGGCGCACTGCTGACTGTGGATGGACGACCTCTGAATATCCTTCACTACTCCAAACTATGGAAATTGCAATGCCAGAGAAATCCCTGTTATGCTCAAATGCAACTTGTTGTCTGTCGTTGTAAACCGACCTAACCATCCTGATTGTCGGGTGCCCGATCCTTCAATCAAACTTGTGCAGTGCTGGTTTTTGCATCATCAGGAGACGAACTTGCCACTGGACTGCGAACCGCTCTTCTCCTCGGCGATCCAGTAGCCACCTTTGTGGCTGTACATTTTCCACTCTTTATGACATTTTCAACAGTTGTGGAAACCGTCCGTGTGGCTCCAGCACGGTCCCATGCGTGTGCAGTAGTTGATGCCACAGTGCTGGTACAATTCTCACCAGTCACTTTTTCCACGGGTACAAGGAGGGACCTTTAATAAGGACCCCTAGGTATATACGCTTAACATAGCTATTTTATACCCCTTATATAGCCCATTGTAGGGTAGGGGTCCCCATTAAGGGTCCCTCCTTTTCTCCTTTGATTCGTCCTCGGACTCGCCAGCCTTCTTCTCCAGGCCACCTTTCCCTGCCTTCTCCTCGACGTCTTCCCCCAGAGAGCCCCATACCCCTTGGTTAAGGAATATTGCTTAAATTACATGAGCCTTCATATTCTGGTTTAAGCCATATTCCTTAACTAAGGGGTATTGGTAGTTCCATGGACCCCATTCTAGTTAAGGCATCCTTCTGCTGCCCACAGAGTGGTCCTTCGGCCGCTCAATATTGTCGCAATCCTGAACTACTGAAGCCGTGAAGCCGTGTGTCTTAATGCTGGGATCAAGCTTCTCCACGCAGCAGAGAAGTATGTATTGGACTAGACGCAGCTTCTCTTCGCTGAATCTGAATCTGCAAGTGCTCATTAGACGTTACTTGGCTTCATGGGCTGAGATTACCTGGACCCCAAAAGTATGTAGAATAATAGCCTTCTATAGTTTTTGTGCCAAAATTTTACCTAATGACTTTGTGGGGTCCGGGTGGCGGTTTGGCCTGGGGGTCTCCCTTTTGTTGGCTGAGCATCCGAGCACCAAGGGGCGAGATACTGATTAAGGAGCCCAAAGCAATCATGTTAGCCATTATTCGGGCTACCACGTTTAGTGGGCGAATCCTAAGCACTACCCTAAGGCTCCTGGACCCTAGTAGTGCCGAAACCCTCCCCCAGAAGGCCCAAGACCCTGTTAGGAGCCTTCGGGTAAGCCCTAAACCCTAAACGCTAAGCTCTCCCAACGGTAATTGGCTGCCTCGTCCTCTTCCATCACCGTAGGGGCGCGCGAAGCTAGAATTCACGCTTCAAGGGGGGGGTTTGTGGAGAGGTTTCTTGAGAAAGCTCATGGACCCTCCTACGGCCCCAAATAGCTAGGATCCTTATGTTAAGGACCGCTTCGTGGCCTCCTACAGCTTGCAGCCTTCAGTGCGAAGGCACGGTCGCCTACCAAGGTCCGTTTAGACACCCTGTCAACTGTGTCTCTACAGGGAGCCTGTGCCAGCTACAACATGAACAGGACTAAAGCTAGCTACTAATAGTGGCTTAAACATGCAGAATGCCGCCTTGGGGACAACTTGTCTAGTTGACACTTGCTTAAACTGTTCAGGCTTCCCTCTCACGCCAACAACAAGCGCGACTAGCACCGGGAACTTTGAAGCACGCTACAAGACCGCAAATCCCAAGACATGAAACTCGCGCGATGCTGGCTGAAATGGCTGCGGCTGCTTGCAGTTCCAGATCTTAGTTTACTTGTTGCCCGATCTAGGGTTGTGACTGCAGGCTGAGATTTGCCATACAGCCGGAAAACACAACCCCCGGTGCTCCACGTACCTATACAATGCGTTGCTGGGGAATATATTATATGGCTTGTAACCTAGCATTTAAGTGCCGTATTCTTCGGAGCTCAGTACCCTAGCCTAAAGAAGCTTAACCTTTTCAGTTATGGTAGGGTTATATGAACCCCACAAGGTTAAAGGTTGCCTACTCAACTACGAAGAGCCCTTTACCGAACCCCAACAGATCCCTTAAAGGAACCCCTCATTATAGTACCCTGCCCTATATCCTATTACTCCGACACAGCTACACCCCCGAACCCGCGAACCCAACCTTGCACCCTTAGCCCCTTTGCCGAACCCGGATCTGTATAGGGTTTAGGATTTAGGGTGCAAAAATTTGATGTATGAGTTGCAATTACCCGGTACCCGAAACCACAAACCCAGAAACCCCTTCAAAACCTGAACTCGGCTCTAAAGCGCAGCAAAACTATGTAGAAACGTACGAAACCCTACAGAATCCCGAAGCCCTAAAGCCCGGTTATCCCCGATATTACCCTGCACCCGTATTCAACTCAGGTCCTGTATTCTTGGCTTTTGCGGTTCAGGTTAGGGACTCTGAGCCCCTCTCGGAAACCTGAAGCAGTACCTACGGTTGATGATATAAATCCTGCATTACCTTAAGGGCCCTAAACTATGGGATTTATGGTATATTAGTATGGATCATGCAGGATATATATCATCAACCGTAGTACCAACCCTTATAGAAACCGCAATAGAAACCTAAAGCCTCCGTTGCTCCTGAACCCTAAACCCCAGATCCCAGAACCCTAAACTCAAGCGCTAAGCCCCAAGAGCCCTAAACCGGAAGCCCCAAACCGCAAAAAAAAACAACCTAACGAGGGTACGTGAGGGGCTTCGGTTACCTAAGCCGTAGGTTACTAACCATACATATAGATATATAGATATATATAAGTATATATATATATATAGATACATAGATATATAGATATATAATGAACCATCGAAACCTACTAATTGGGTAACTGGAGCTCTGGGGGACCCTGAAGCCTAAACCCTGTAAGCCCCAATATAAACCTGAAATTCTAAAACCCTAACCCCTCAACCCTCTATAACCCGTAACACTGAAGTGACCCTTTTATACCCTAAATAGTACTTCCAGGGAATCCGGGTGCTTTTTCTCTTCGGGCGCCGAGGACCTGTCCATGCAGCTCAGTGCTTCGAGAATCCGAGGACTTCGTGATCTTCAAGGGTCCCTTAAAGAAATTTGTAGGGTTCCTTTAAAGGGATCTATAGGGTTTACGGCGCTTTCGGGCTGAGGGTATCTATAGTGTTTTAGTGCATGGAAATCAAAACTTTACATTCAGGACCGGTTTTTTTGGTGTAGCAGGGGTGTCTATTTCAGGATAATGCCATTAGAGTTGTCTCCAGATGCCACGTTTTTACGGGTCACGGCTTGTGGAGTTTGGAGGGTGTTTCAAATTCATGCTTTCGGACTTGTATGCTTGGGAGTTCAGTGTGTAGGTCTTCCGTCGCGAGATTTCTATACAAGCGCGTTACAATAAAAATTTGAACCCTATAAAGGAATTTCCGAAAACAGGGGATCCAAATATAGTACTCTAAATAGTCGGTTCCTTATTTTAAGGACCCCAAACTAAGGCACCCCGAATTTTCGGAGATGCCCATAAGTTTCCAAACTAGAAGTCCTGCTTCGCATCTATATGCTTCCCCCTAAACCCTAAACCGTACAACTGTATGCCAGCTCCTCTGATCCTCTGCTTGCCTTCGGCAACAGCAGGGCGCTGCAGGCGCACAGAAAATTGACGACCAGCACAGCCGCAAGATTGCAGCTGTGCTTACGTGTCTTAAAGAAAGTTTTAAGTTGACTTAAACCCAAAGTGTTAAGCAGAAAGTTTCGATGTGCGAACCGGTTCGGAGTCCTCGCAAAGGCTGAGTGATGCAATGTAGCTCCAAAACTGAAGCCTCAAATCCTGCGTCTTCGAACCCGGAAGCCCACAAGTCCGGCAGCCCAATTGCCCTAAGCCACCATGTGACCGGAACCTTATAGGGACTGAGTATCCTACATAATGGGTTACTGGGTTATAATTATTATAAGGTTTGTAACCTAGTATCTAAAAGCCGAATTCCTAGGGGCTGAGTGCGCTAGTAAGGTTAACCTTTCAAGTTATGGTAGGGATACATATATATATATATATATATATGAACAAAGATTACCTACTCAGCTACTAAGGAACAGACAGGACATGGAGCGCAAGTGAAAACTATTATTGAACACTAACCGCCTTCGTAACGAAACCATTGCAAGGCCGCATGGCTAAACCCTAAACAAAGCCGGGTCCAAGTAGTTCCTATTTATGGGTTTTTGGTACCTAAGACGGCCCTAAAGTCCTATATTAGGGAGTACTCGCACCCTCTAAGAAAGCCTAAACCCGGAGCCCTGAAGCGTTGGCTTCAGCAGCGGTGGCGGATTCAGAGCATCTTAGAGTGCAGATCTGGTATCCGCCTGTCAAGAGAGGCTCAAAGGGGTTCAGGGTTTAGGATTCAAAGTTTAGTGCTTCAGGTGTACGGTCTATAATATAAATAAAGGAAGAGCTATATATATATACATATATATATATATATATACATATGTGTATATATAGATATGTGGTTCTGGAATGGTTTGTGAAGAGCGTTATACCGGGGCTTCCCATTACCAGGGGTACCTGAAAAAGGAGCTCTATATATATATATATATACATACATACATACACATATGTATACAGACCTCTCGGATCCTAGGCAGAAGCTTGGCTGGGGGGTGCGATTATAAATGGGACAACCGGTCGTGCGAATGCTGCTGCCTACAAGGAACACAAATAAGGTCGCCAACAAGCGGGACTACCTATAGTCTCCACTGTAGTTCCTTTTCTTTGGTTAACCAATTTTATGGTTAGGGTTAGCTAGGATCCGATAATATAGTTTTTGGCTAGCCAAAACAGGCAACTACAATGGAGACTAGAGGTACAATTCACGGTTCAAGGTTCAGCGCGCTGGAACTCTGGCTCCTAACCCAGACCTGGACCCTAAAAGTATGTAGAATAGTAGCCTTTTATATGTTTTGGGCCATTATTTTACTTACTTTTGAATTTTGGGGGTCTAGGAGAACACTAAACCCAGGTACGGTCTGTGTGATTCCAAACCCTTAACTAAAACTTTCGCCCTGAACCCTCAAACCCTGTAAACCCTCAACCCTACAGCCCAAAACGCTAAAATCGACACCCCAAGCCCTACACGATAAACCCTACAGCCCTATGCCCTAAGCCCTCAAATCGAAACAACACCCCCCAGATCAGAAGCCCTGCAAACCCCTTCAGCGCAGCCCTACACCCTAAACCTACTGAACCCTGCAAACCAGGGTATCAAAGCAGCACTCCAGAGGCACTCAAACGACCATCCATGGACGCACTGCAATTCCGAATTGGATCTTTTTATGCGCAACAGCTGAAATCCTTCAGTGCTCTAAATGACAGATATGCAAGTCCTGCGTGACGAAATTGTACATATGGTCACGACTGTTACCTTGCTGCTGCAATGTGCGGTGAGTTTCTATACATCACTGACATCGCATGACTCAAGGGGTTTTTCTGTAGCCACTTCCCTTGATGAGGCGGCACGGAACAATTCACATCAGCACTGGTGTTTCTGCACTCCTCCTCGCAAAGCTTGTCAGAGCTGCAGTGTCCCATCATAGGCCCTTCCAGTGCGTTATGGTCCGTGACGTATCGCCCCGGGATCTTAGGCATGACCAACTGAGTAACGTACGGCCACTCAGATTTCTTTCACGCCACAGCCACAGTAGGTAGCGCATCTGTCTTAGCGTAGGTCCCGATCCAGTACCCAGCTGTCGAACTAGCACTTGTGCCAGTCTTGTGGCTATATCCTGCTTTAAGCCTGACTGAACCAGACCATTGAGCCGTAGACCTTCTCTGATCTCTTCAACTCTCATCAGCATTACTGTATCTACACAAACTCGCTGACTTTCGTCTGGGGGCACTCGATCATCTCCTTCTCCGGGGGATGGCATAGGTGTTGTAGGTGCCGTAGGTCTCGGGGGTGTAAAAACCTCCTGGAGCCGTCGCGGTGGCATCGGTGACGTAGATCGATCGACCGGCTGTGACCTTGCCCTTGGCGGGGTCGCTGGTCTGGTACTTCTCCTTGACTCCATCGTCGAAGAAGTGCCTCCAACTGGTCCTCGATCCCGTACAGGGGTCCTTGCTAACTCCTGCTCAATGGCAAGCGCCGTTGCATCTCTCAAGCGCTGAAGCCTTCTCATCCTCCGTGTTGTTGCACCAGGTAAATACTTGTAGTAGGCCTCGACTACACCCCATCTGACCGCCTCGTACAAGATCAAACCACCAAGAACCATTAGTAGACCCATAAAGATCGCGACCATGTCCCAGTCTACGTCGATGGTCCGTCCCGCTGACTGGGGTTGAGCTTCAACTGTCAGCACTAGCATACAGCACACCATTGCAACCAACATCCGCGTCATTGCCGTCGCTGAAGTCGTGCTCCTTGTAGTAGGTCGAGTAGCGATGCCGTCCGTTATACCCCACAATTGCAGTAGGTCTCGAATACGCTGGCCGGCTAACGGCTTCGTGAGCAAGTCGGCTGGCTGGTGGATCCCCGGCTGATGCGTTGCTATGACCTCACCACGTGAAATCATCTCTTGTATCCAGGAAGCCTTCAACCTCAGGTGTCTCGTTCTCCAACTCCCGGTTCCGGCCCCAATGGCCAGGGCACTCGTTGAGTCACTCCTGATCACCTTGGCCTTAGGCTCCACTTCCAAGTCCAAGAGCATAGCCTCCAAACCCAACATGCCGACAGAGCCCTCGATGATTGCCTGTAGCTCGCTCTCCGCCGTGCTCAACGTTATGCTGGCCTGTCTTCCGCTCCTCCAACATATCGGCGTTCCGCACCAACACACCAGCCATCCAGTGTGGGACCTCCCGCTGCTCGGAGCGAACGCTGCGTCCGGGTAGAGCACCAGGCCACTTCCATCGTCTCGAATTGCCAACTTGTAGTCTCTCGTGCCGTACAGGTACTTTAAGACTTTGTAGCCTATGTCCAAACACCGGAACGGAGCCTTCAAGGTGATTGACGCCATCAAGCTTGAGCTGTAAGCTACATCTGCTCGAGTTTTGTGAGCCATCCACATGACTTCTCCAGTCACTCGCTGCGCACTCGCCACTGCATCTGGAGTAGGTTCCAAGTCCCCTTCAACCCACTCAAAGCTTGCGAGGTCCTTGGCCAAAGGGATCTTCGCCTTGTCTTCTTCGCTAAACCCGTAAGCCCTGACCACCTCCTCAACGTAACCGCGCTGACTCAAATACACAGTCATGTGGTCAGGATCCACCTCCATCTCCGTTCCCAGAAATCTGATAGGTTCTCCCGGACGAAGTATAGTAAGTGGTGACGTAGTCCACTCCTCCTGGACTGTTGTAGCAATATCGCGGACAACCGTCTCCTCACCCATGAGCAAGATATCGTCGACGTAGATTATGATGAGAGCTCGGATCTTGCCATTCTCGTCCTTCAAGACCCACCAAGCCGTTATTGTCCGTCCTCGATGTAGCCTCATGCCCATAGGGAACTTCATTGCCTCCAACCTCTTGTCTCGGTAGGCGCTCCAAAGGGCCGGTGCCTGGCGCAACCCGTAAAGGGCCCTGACCAACCCCCACAGTTCACCTTCAAGAATCATAGACAACCGCTCCAACAGTCGAGGCGGAGTAACAATGATGGTGGGGGCACCCTCCTCATAGTTCAGCGGTGTACGTAGGAAGGCCGCAACGACATCGATCAGTCCTACCATCCATTTTTGTCGTATGGAATATACCAAGCCCATCCTCACTGACTCTGAGGGCGCCGTCTCGGAGTAGAGATCGGAGCCATCTGCTGATGCGTAGTTTCCACAGACCACCAGCCTCGCCTTTCTCTTGAACCATGTACTTGGGTCTAACGGGTCCGGGTTTGCACCCGGCTTCACAGTGAAGACCAGTTTGGTGGGTAGCTTCTGGGCGCCTGGTCGGTGCAACCATTCCGCTCTCTGCGGCGTTCCCGGAAGAAGTTTGCAAATTGCAACTGCAACACTGGTCACTTCACGCTCTATAGCCGAACGCCAGAGCTCAATGTTCTGATGCACTTCCCGTGGGTCGACTGTGTAGGTCACTTCAAGAGGGCTGCTTAAGTTGCGAAGGATCTCCTCCACATTCTTTGTATACGTAACTTCCACCTTTTGTAAGGCCAGCTCCTCTTGATCCGTAGAGAACCCTTCACTGGTTCCCACCTTCACCAGACCATCGTCTGCCTCCACGAACATGTCCCACTCCTCGAGGTCAGTATCGTCCATATAGCCCGTGTAGTTCGCCTCAGAGAACTGGTCCTCCTCCGCGTCGTCTTGTGGTGGTTGTAAGGCATTCAACTCCACTCCTTCCGGAGTAAAGTAGTCTGGCATCTGAGACAATGGGACAGAGAAACCATGATCCTCCAGCTCGTTGACCATTTGCTGATCAAGCTTTCCCAAGCACTGCGGAGTGTAGGCAATCAGCACCGTACGTACACCCTCCCACGGTAGGACCTCATGGGTCCTTCTTGGAGAAAACACCGTAGTCACTCCAGACCTCATCCTGTAGATCTGGCCGTAGACCTTCTTTCCACGATCATCTACACGCTCTGCTATTTCCCCTTTCACTGCATCACCCTTGCACAACTCAACCCATAGATCACCTCCATGACGCGGCACCCTTACTGGATACACGTAGTTCACTGCACGCTCGTCGTTGTTGAAGTCACGGTGCATCCCCTTGTCCATATTCCGGGCGACCTGAATAGCGGTGAACGTTGCCTCGGGGTTGGAGTGCCGGATCAACTTGCTCAGGAGTCTAGAGAGCTCAGGATACTCTCCCAAACCCCGTAACCATCCCACACTTCCACCATGCCTGAAGACGCCGAACTTGTGATCCTCGAAGAAGTTGTGTTCTGCTAGCTCATCAATAAACCGGGTGGCTTGCTCCTGGTCCCAGTCACTCAACAAAATACTTGAGCGGGTCTTGATATACTCATCGAGGTCATCACCCTTCAACTTGAGTGCCCGCATCTCCACATCCTCCAGTGGTGTTTTCTGCACAAGTCTCCTCCTGGGCTTAGGATCATCCACCACCGCCTCCTCGACAGGCGGACCTGGGTCCACGAGCTTCTTCCTAGCATGAAGCGTATGCACAAACTTCTCCTTAGTATCCTTGGTGCCCGGTACGTAGATCACGTGCCCATTGTCCAGGATATTGCTCAGTCCCACGTAAATCCCTCTGAACCACTTTGACTCAAAAGCACGCTCTCTTCTCCTTGGACCACTGGAGTCAAAGGCCTTTTGCTTCACGTGAACCACGGAACCATAGGGGACTAGCATTTTCTGTTTCCAACCAAGCACTCTTGCTCTCTGACACGCCGTTGCCGCCTCCACCGCCGTTGGCCACAAACGAACTGGAAGACCTGACGCCATCAACAACGTCCTGGCCCGATCCTTTATCCACCTCACACTTGTCTCCGCTTGACCATTCCCTTGAGGAACCCCAGGTTCTGACCATGTCGCTCTGATCCCTTGGTCCCGAAGCCACGAACGGATCGTGTGGTTGTAGGTCTCGCCCTTGTCCGCGTGTAGACGATAAACCGGAAGTCCATGGGCCTCCAGGTACAAGGTGACATCTTGTAAAGCGGCCTTCACCGCCATTGTCCCATTGTTTGGTAGAGCACGGGCAAATAGTAGGTGTGTCATTTCAGGTGCCTCGCAATCTGGAAAAGGTACCTGTTCGCTCCTCCTGGGAAGATCACCTGGTAGCTCACAAGGAGGATCACTTCCTGGTAGGGATGGCTCGTAGTCCAAATCTCCCTTCTCATAGGTACGCTTCTGTTCCTGTGATCCACCAGCAAAGCCCATGAGATCTTTGTCAACCTCTTCATCATATGACGACTGGTGACCCTGCTCACTTGGCTCATCTTCATCGTCTTGAAGTGGGCCCTGCTCACTTGGCTCATCTTCCAAAAAACTGAACGGATCCCCTTCTTCACGTGGTGGTAGTAGAGAAGGTATTGCAAGTTCCTCGCCATTCACACGGTCCTCCAAACCATGCTCGCCTTCACCTTTTTCCTCCCCTTCTTCACGTGGTGGTAGTAGAGAAGGTCTCGCAAGTTCCTCGCCATTCGCACGGTCCTCCAAACCATGCTCGCCTTCACCTTTTTCCTCCCCTTCTTCACGTGGTGGTAGTAGAGAAGGTCTCGCAAGTTCCTTGCCATCGCCCTCCTCCTCGAAGTTGTGCTCCGCCTCTTGTGGATCTCGCAACCCATTGTCCTCGGGGGGTGACCGTCCCGAGTAGGCCTTCGCAAACTCCCTGGGGAACACATAACGGGCGACGAAGAGGTACTTCAGGCCACGCCCCATTGTCCCCTTCGACGTAGCATCCAGACCAGGCTTCACCGGCCCCGCCAGGTCAATGGTGAGTGTGAAGGAATCGGGGTGTCGAACCCGAGCATGTCTTCTTCCCGTTCCTCTTGAGGTAACACATGTAAGGCAATCCCTGTGGTAGTTCGCGTGCCCCGACTGCACATGCTGTTTCCACTGCTCCGGCGACATTGCCATCAGAGTTGGAGAGCACTTAGGGCGGCTCGTCCAGAACCGGAGGGCCATCACCACTGCGTTCACAAGCCCTGGGGACCAAACTCCGCTTCCTTGGTGTCCACTTTCACCTTCCGTGTCTTGGTCCACATCACGACCTACACCGTCCAATCCCATCAGGTAGTAGATGTTGGTTCCCATGGTTGTTAAGGACGAACTCGATGCCCCCATGCATTTTTGGTCAAACGTAACCTTGGACATCCCCATCTCCTCCTGAAACATTTCCCATATAGGCGTTTTCCACCAGGACCGCTCTGCTCGGATCTCCTCCGCGGGGTGCTCCAAAACAAAGCCCACTGGACGACCGTGATGTTGATGCTGCACCTTCCCTGAGCATGCCATGCGGGAGGCCGTCGCGATTGTGTACAACCACAACATCCTTGTAATCACGGTCAAGCTCCTTAGGTCCTTGTCGCCGTACTTGTCGATGTGGTTGAAGGAGGCGCCTCGACCTGGGGGTCCTCCAATGAGGGAGTCTATCTTCCCCGTGAGCGCGCCCCATAAAAGCAATCGCCACGTGGAGCTCTTCATCAGATCCTGGCCTCGGTTGCGGTCTAGATCTATTTCCAGCACTGCAGTGTGGCCATCATCGAGCTGGAAGAACTGGTAGTGTCCAGGATTGCCAGCACATACGTGGACGATCCACTTCCTTGCCCCGAACAAGTACCTCTTCTGGGGTCGTGTAAGAAAGTCCACTTCCTTCACTACTTTCCATCCCTTCTTGTGGAGACCCGTCTGAATGAGCCCATCTACGCATTCCCCCGGGACGTCCTGTAGATACGGAACATCACGTAGGGCCCGCAGACCTGCCTCCATCGACCCGTCCTTGACGTACTGCTCCAAGTGATCCCTCCACGACATCTCCAGCCTCATAGCTGCCAAGGTCACCGCATCCATGGTCGCCGTAGTTTGGTTCTCCAACATCTCTCGCTTTTTGTTCTCCAATCTAGAAATCATTGCGAGAGCTTCAGTTTCTTGTAGTAGTGGACACCCTCCTGAGACCTTCAAGTTCCGCTCCACACCAAACTCATCTCGCAACTTGCATCCCTGCGGAGACCATGTTAGGGTGTACCCCAGTGTCCTCACCAGTTCTCCAAGTGGAACTATTGTCTGAGCTCCCGTGCTTGTAGTAGATGAAGTACTGCTAGGACCCCTCGGAGGCATCAAAAGGGAACCACCTGAACTCAACCTCATAGTCAACGACCTGTCTGCCGCCAGCCTCACCAGGACTTCTTCCGCCTCGTCCCACTCCTTACTGTCCACTGCGCTTCGTAGGCAATGCGTGGCGCCTGAGTCCAGGAGTGCTGAGGTCGTGTCGTTCATTGAAGACACCCGAATGTCCCTTATCGCCAACACCCTGACCTGGGGCTTAGTCTTCTCAGGCGACGAATCCCCGGAAGGCGAAGTTGAGGATTGGTTCTGGATCACCTGTTGGGCCGCCTGCATCAACGTCTCCATGGTCCAGGGAACACCTTGGATCGGTACTTCACTGCTGTTAAGGGTCGAAGACGCCGTACTCACCGAAGACACTCCAGGATCCCGTCCACCTCCTTTGTCTCCTTGCTTCACTGGTGGGGCCCCCGGGGGTCCCTTTGGTACGCCCTTGCCCACAACGCAGTCCTTGGCACGATGAGCTTCACTGCCGCATCTCAAACACTTACGAGACCTTAGATCGCGGTCCATCAGCTGCATATTGTGCGAGTAGGTACAGCGATCACCCCGTTTGCATCCAGATGGCTTCGCAAAGTACCTGCAAAGCTCGCCACCCTTGTCCTTCTGCTTCCCGCCACCCTTGGTTGTAGTAGGTGACGTTGGCGTCGAAGGTCCTTCCACGGCTCTCGCGTGAGGGGTCGTCGTAGTATGGGTGAGCAGCCGCCAAGTTCTCGAGCTCTGCCTGCAAGTGCCTCTGGTACGAACGTACCTGATCCAAGGACGGTTGCCCGTCCAAGCGAAGCGTAGTTCGCAGCATCGCCGTCCTGAACGACGAGTCCTGCGAGGCAGCAATGTGCTTCTGAGAAACACTGTGCAGCCCCCTCGCCATCACCGAAGGGTCCGGAGGAACCATTCCCATGTTCGAACATCTCGCCAGCCACCTTGGCCATCCACGGATCTCCTTCAGCGCATCCTGAACGCCCTCCCCCACCACGTAGTCCTGCGGTGTTTGCAACCTCCGTAACACCTCATGTCGCTCTGCTGAACCTCCTGGCTGGTACCACGTGAACAACCTGAAAACCATCTTTGGGGCATTCTGGCTGATTCTCTGTGACAGCATGTCGGCCTTCAACTCTGAGCTCATAGCCGACAGTAGCATTGAGGTCACACGAGCATTTAGGCGTGTCCACCTGTTGGTCACCAGGTCGTCGGTTCCCTCTGGTCCAATGGCTAGTCGCTCCAGAGGGGTAGCATTCAACCACCGTACGTAGGCGCTCTCCACTAGCAACATAACAGATTTCCACCACGCTCCCGACTGCTCCGAAACATCGGCCATCACCGACGACGCTACCTCAACCCAGTCCTGGAAGAGCAAGGCCGACTGAGCGCCTCCATGAACATCGGGAAGCTCCGCCAATGCTAGGGTTCCTGGCTTAACTGTCTCGCTTGCTGTAGCTGACGTCCTAGACATGGCTTGGGCTTGTAGTTCTTGTAGTTGCTGCATGCCCTTGGCAATGGTTTCCAGCATGGGGGAGTCCGGGTGTGAGCGCTCTCCCTGAGGCGGTGGTGTTTCCGATCGCCCTCTACCAGCTCCTAGTAATCCTCGAAGAAAACCTGAGGTACTCGTAGGATTCGGTGCTGAGGCCTGCTGTGGTTGTGGTTGGGGATCTAGGTAAAGTGCTGCCGAGGGAATTCTCAAGGGCTCCGGGTCTACAGCTCCACCTGGGGCCGTTCCACTGATAGCCTGCCGTCCTCCTTGCCCTTGATCTGCTGCAGGAGGTCCTGAAGCTGGTAGCGGAGCACTAGGTGGCCCTCCAAGACTCTCAGGTACTGGAAGAGGATCACCAAACAACCCTCCTGAACCACGAAGCCGTCCTGAGCGCTCCGGTAGGGGAAGAGGAGAACCAAGTAACCCACCAAGAGTAGGAAGTTCGATAGGACCCTCAGGTACTTGTATTGGATCACGTAGAGACCGTCTCTCAAGTACATCCCCTTCGCGCTCTCGCTGCATGACTTGTGTTCTCGCTTCTTCGGCCTCCACCCTCGCGGCTTGCAAGTCCCTCATCAGTTGCTCATTACGTAGCTCTGCATCATCAAGCCTGCTAAGTAGCCCACCCAACTGCCGCTGCACTTCCTGCTGTATGGCCTCGGCAGGTATCGAAGAGCTACTCGGTGGAGTCGCTGGTCTCCTGAGCGGCCTTTGTCTCACAGGCGACCGCAACGTGAACGCATGTCCACCCGGTGGAGTGGGCTGGCTTGGCAGCGGACTCGGAAGCAGATCAGATGCCACCGGAGCCACATAGGATCCCAGCCTTGACATCCACCTGGGCCACTCCAGTGGCCCGAGCCAGTTAGGCTGGCCCTGTACTGTTGCCACCGAACGCGGCGTCAGAAAATCATTTGACATCACCGACTGCCTCGACGCATTCCCAGTTGCCAGAGCCGGTCCTCCGCCTACATCAAGAGTCGTGCGGGCGCTCAATCGCCCACCCTGCTCCAGCGTAGCTGCGGGCTCCGTTGTCCCCGGCTGGGACTGCGCTTCAAGCCCTGCCACCGGCACGGAAGAGCCATTGACATCCTGGCTCCCTCCTCTTACTCCAGCTTCCACAGCAAGGTTGGCATTCTCTGTCCCTCCAGAACTCTGCAGAACTCCATTCGGCAGACCGGAGGTGCCAGCATCATCATTCGCCCTGCCTGGACGATCATTTCGCGAAGCTTGCTGAGCGTCTTGGGCGCTCATAACCTACTGAACCCTGCAAACCAGGGTATCAAAGCAGCACTCCAGAGGCACTCAAACGACCATCCATGGACGCACTGCAATTCCGAATTGGATCTTTTTATGCGCAACAGCTGAAATCCTTCAGTGCTCTAAATGACAGATATGCAAGTCCTGCGTGACGAAATTGTACATATGGTCACGACTGTTACCTTGCTGCTGCAATGTGCGGTGAGTTTCTATACATCACTGACATCGCATGACTCAAGGGGTTTTTCTGTAGCCACTTCCCTTGATGAGGCGGCACGGAACAATTCACATCAGCACTGGTGTTTCTGCAAAACCCATAAACCCTAACCCTCGGCGCCGAACCCTCTTCCGCAGCATCTGCCGTAGGGCAGAGGTGCCCGAGGAGGCCTCCAAAAGTTTCTGTTAATGTATTGGTTTTTAGGGTTAGCGTTTAAGGGTTTGGTTTTTAGGGTTTAGGGTTTAGGCGTTTAGGGTTTAGGGTTTAGCGGTTTCGGGTTTAGGGTTTGGGTTTACAGTAGAACCCAATACGCTCCGTCCATAAGCGTAATGTATAGGGGATCCCGCCACTATTTGTCCCTGATCCGCTTTCCAATTTTGGGGGTTTACTATAAGGATATATAGGGTCCTTTCAAGGATCAATAAGGGTTCGATAAGGGCGTTTGTAGGGTTTCCTAAAGCATCATCCTAGGCTTTGGGGTGTGGGGTCGGGGCGAGGGCTTTAGAAACACAGATCTGAACATTATACTTTCGGAGGGAGGATGTGACCGCCAGAGAGGCAGTAGCAATAGCAGTAGCAGCATCAGAAGCAACAGCACCACCAAAGTTACTAGTTGCTAATCCTAGTTACCAGAAACCAGTTACTATAGATACCAGTTACTTGTTTCTAGTAAGACTACGCGTATAATATTAGTAGTACCAGTAGTACTACTTACCAATGCGTACTTGTGCTCAGGGTAGCCGTGCTGGTGCGTCGCGGGATTTGATGATCATTTAGTGTCTTTCTATCTCGGGCCGATACACCGCAATCGCATGAGTTCTCTCAACTTCCATGTACCTCATATGAAATCAAGCTTTGATTGTTGAAGTCGCACAAAAAAGTAAACTCAATGCCATGGATCTGCTCATCAAAACACGAACCCAAAGGGTCCATTTGCCCATACGAAAATGCTTTGGCCCTGAGGTACCTGTATATAGACTACTTTATGGCCAAAGTATATATTATATGTGAGCGCATGGACTCTTAGGGACATACAAATGCGACCTGTTCTCTTTCAAGAAACCCACTTAAATCAGAATGCACCGACCCCACGTAACAGCCCCGACAGGTGCATAACTGTTAAGAGTGGGAATTTTACCGGGGGTTTGGAGGGGTTTCGGGGATGTTTACCACAGGGTTTCGTGGTCCAAGACTAACGGCGAGCGTTGAAACCCCACACCCTAAACCCTTGATGCCGTTAGGAACCTTTCACCCCGAACCTTGGCTGACTTCTGCACCCCCGCTAAAAGTTGAAATTTTAGCCCCCGTATTAGAGTTCATATAGAAACCCAAGAAGTTAAAGTCCTAAGAGCCAACCAGAAGAACGCCCAAGGAACACCCTATCACCCAAACACCCTAAACCCTAACACCCTATCTTGGGCAGTGCCTCCAGCGCGCCCTGAAAATGACGCAGCAGAACGGGAGGGACATCCTGCACAGGTGTGATACTGTTGATGATATAAATCCTGCAGTACCTTAAGGGACCCCAAACTTATGGTATACTTATTCCTTATTATGGGTAATGCGGGATTTATATCATCAACCGTATCTTTTCAAAGGCTGGGCATGCAGGTTTGGGGTTTAGGGCCTGGGGTTTACGGCATGCGTCGTCGGGTTGTGGCATGGATTGAGGCTTTACCAGTTTGCCCCTCCTACAACCTAAACTCTGAGTCTCTACACCCTCCGCCCTGAACCCTACAACCTAAATCCTACACATTACGTTGGTTTTGGGGGTACCGGGACCCTTGTTTAGGAACTACATTTACAATCAAAGGGTCCTAATATCAACATAGTACAGAGTAGCGTTCCTATAATGGACATGTCTAGTAGGTTGTGGGCTAGCAGTCTTCGTATAGGTGCTTAGGACCGTGTGGGATTCAAGCCAAAGTAGGGATGCATCGGCACCCTGCGTGTCCAAGTATCCAAATGGTACAAGACCGTGGGTAGTAGGGTTCCTTTAAGGGTTCAATAAGGTTCTCTAGTGAAGGTGCCATACAGGTAGATTTTGGGTTAAGGGCACATGTGACAGACTTACATTTCACGCCTTGTAACCCCCACAGTTTAGATAACACCCTTGTGAAAGCCTTACTTACATAATACCCTTCACAACACCTTCTCAAAACCATCCTAACAAAGCCCCGACAGAGCCTTTGCAAGGCCCTTCAAAGACCGTTACAAAACAAAACCCTCGGCCCCCAAAACCTAACCCCTCACCCTTTTGCCTAAACCTTTGAGGCCATGAGCCCTCAAAACCAAAACCTGTAAAACCTGAACCCTAGCCTTAGACCTCAAAACGATCCCAGATCTTCGGTGGGGCCTCGGGACAAAGCCCCGGCTTCACTTGTGGGAGCTCGCGCAGCACCTGACATATAGCTTAGGGCTCGGATTTATTATACTAACCATGTATTATATACCCCAGTACCCTTTTGTTTAGGTAACTGGAGCCCTCGGGAATCATAAGCCCTCAGTGGTGAAACTTAAACCCTCAGCCCCACCTGAAAACCTTGACTACTTAAAACAAACCTCTCAAAACTCTGACTAGGCCTTAAACCCTGGTACAAACCAGGATGTGGAAAGATTGTCTAGTTAGCAACCCCAAGCCCTAAACCCTCAACTTAAAGCCCGTCAGCTACCCACAGCGGCTGCTCGCCCCGAGACAGGACAACCAACTCTGGGATTGGAGTAGACCAAAAACTTACCCAAACTCCAAAAATCCGCGTGCGCGACTCCCTAAATCCGAACCTCAACCCAAAACGAATGTCTCAGAGTCTTAGAAGGTTTAGGTGTTGTCTGCAAAACACTGGCCATGTCCAAAGCATACCACACATAGAATGCAGCCCTCATGTACCTTTTCGTGGCCGCACGCAGGCCTACAGAGACTCATCCCAGATGCCTTGCAAATTTTTAAAGATCAGTCACTTAACCCAAAAAAACTTTAAACCCCAACCTTGCATTTTTTAACATCAGTCACTTAACCCAAAAAAATCTTTAAACCCCAACAAATCCTCCCTGAACTCTATAGGGTTGAGATGCGAGCTCGGCCTTCTGCCTCTTTGTCCAAGTCGGGCGTGCATAATAAGTAAAGTGAAGTTACTTTAACCCTAGGCTTTAAAGTAGTTCCCTTTTGGGATTACCGAATAGGATTCTAAATACGAACCCCAAAAAAGGAACTACTTTAGGGCCTTAGGGTAAGTGTTACCTCAACCCTAGGCTTCCAGGGACCTTATTATTGGGTCCTTAAGAGGTCTGGGCCCTAACTATAAGGTCCCTGGAGGCATAGGGTAAGTGTTGCTTCAGGATTGTGGGCTTAGTGCTTGAGGTTGGCATAAGTGTTGTTTCACGGTTTCGGGTTTTAAGGTTGCATGAAATGTTGCTTCAGGTGTTAGGGTTCAGGGTTGCCAAGAGTGTAACTTCAGGGTTGTGATAAAGAGTTTAAGAGTTCGTACAGGGGAGGCCTTTGTAATTCGAGGGGATTGTTTTTGCAATGTAATGATTGATCAGACTTTTGGATAACTTTTCGGGCCCATATACTACAATGACGAAATTCGTCCTGCAAACCAACCATACAAGGGTGATCCTTCTTGTGTCCTAATACCAGAATGGTCGTGGAATTATCCTTTATATGAGTGCTGTTCGTAACACACCCCTCGACCCTCGATCCCGTAAACAGGAACGCTGAATGATGAGTGTGCAGTTAAAGACCCCTGTGCAAACTTTTTGGAAAGAAACTCTTGCTTTGCAGCGCGGTGTCGGTCTCTGCTGGCAGCTGACCGGGGACGTCTGCTAGGCAGAGTTCAAAGGGTTTAGGGTTTCAGGGTTTGGGGGTTTAGGGATTAGGGGCCGTATCCTAGATCATAAACCCCGAGCTTTCAACATGCGCTTGCACTTGTAGGAAACACAGTCATCCTAAGTCTGATCGTGTTGATGTTTGTAGGCTCTTTGGAAAGTCTGCGTAACGACTACAACGCGGCATGTTCTCATCTTTTCTCAACAAAGGGGAGAACAAGCGCTATTATTGTCACGATTAGTGGCACATTGTAAGAATTACCCAATTGAACTCATTGTTCAGACCTCTGGGTCGAGACCTCTAGGTCGCGTCCCGAACCAACCCCCAAAGCTCAGCATTTCTTGAACTGACGATGCTTTTTTCAGGCTGACGCCCTCCATCTATGATAAGACATATATTCATGTCGATACCGAGGGGTTGACCGTGTTTAACCATAAAGTCTAAACCAGGGTTTGGAGTTTGGGGTTGAGGATTTTAGGGCTTAGGACGAAAAGGAGACTGTGTAAAGTTCCTTGGGAACGCTGCGTCCAGAAGCCCCCGCCAGCTGCGCATCTACATGTGCCAGTGTGTAGCTCCCCTTCACATAGTGCCAACTGTTTCTTTTTTGGACAAAATTCTGCGGACAAAATGGTTTTTGTACTCACTTCCAGTTACCTGACGCATAGGGATTTCTTGATCATAGTCTTCACTCTTACAAAGGCAGCAGCGCGTAGAATTGAACAAAGGCTATTGCTAGGTTCCTAAACCCTAAACCTAGGACCTGATCGGAATCTGGACCATGGCCCCTAAGCTCAGTTCTTGCCGGCAATGAGACCAGCAATGTACCTCGGGATGGCCGGTTTACTATCGGGGCCTTCATATGGGCCCGAAGTACCTATACCAAAGTAGTTACCATAAGGCTCCTAACAGGGTCTCGGGCCTTCTGAGGGAGGGTTTCGGCTTCGGGGGCTAGGGTTTGGGACAAGGGTCCAGGAGCCTTAGGGTATTATATATATATATATATATATATATATATATATATATATTCTTATATATATATATATATATATATAGCTATACATATACAATTTATGTATTTATATGTACATACTGCTGATGGACAAAATCCTGCATTACCCATTATAAGGAATATACCATAGTTCCCATAGTTTAGAGTCCTTAGGGTCATGCAGGATATTGTCCATCAACAGTATGAACATGTGGACACTGAGGGCTAGGTCGCGGAGTAGGGCTTCAAGCCTGTGGCAAGGGGCGCCTGCGCCTGGTTTGGGGCCGCGATACACCATGTCCCAAAGGGTCCTATGTACTGTTATGGGGGATACTTCCTCAAATCATAATAGTAATTCCTAATACAGAAACCCTACGTTCTACTATAAAGGTACTTTGGACCCTTTGGGTGTAGTACTGTTCACCACAATGCCCTGTAAGGTGCCTGATTCAGAATACCAGTATCATAGAGCAGCACCCCCGCCCTTGCACCAAAGAAAGATGACAGGACAAGATGCAGCCCCGAAGACTTCAACAGAACCCACGACTCGCATGTCGGCTTCAGGAGTATCCGGAACATAGATTTATACGGTTGATGATGCAAAGCCTGCATTACCCATAATGAGGAATATACTCCCATTATTCCCGTAGTTCAACACCCTAAACTCAACCGCGAAACCCTAAAGATCCCTTAAAGGAGCCCCTTTAAAGGTACCCTTATAGATCCCTTTAACGGAACCCCAGGATTTGTATCATCAACCGGTTTCGGGTTTACGGTTGACAGAAAAGACTTGGGCCAGCAAGAAAAGCCTACAATAGGGTTCCCTCTAAAGGGATCTGTATAAGGCCTACTACAAGGGATCTAAAAACTTACTATGATATAGGGGCCTTGATAATTGATAACCAGAATAGGGTTTTGGGGCCCATTCTACTATAAGTATAATGACGAACCCTAAGAATAATATTTTAGGCCCCGATATTATCGCTCTTAGTTTGGGGTTGGCACAGAACAAGCCCGACGAGCCTGCACTGAGCGCCAGCATGTAAAGCTCTCAATATTCACCGGTTCGGTGTGAATTGGGCTTCATGGGAACCCTCTGAAACCTAAACCCTGTGTGAGAAGGTACTCCTCGCCGTGCTCGGCTTTCATCTTGTCGGTAAAGTCTTTCCACCAACTGACTTTTGCTGCCTTTCTCCGGGGATCTATGGAGGGCGACGGGAGTACTTCAAGGATGATGAGATCTAGAAACAATAACAGAAGGTCTTGATTGAGGTAACTATACTTGTAAATACTTAAAACCCGAATTAAGGCACTTATAGCCGTACTTAGTCACATGATCCTCCCAGTGGGCTTTGGAGTTTAGGACAGTGCGGTTAAAGCAGCTCCCAAAGAGCCCAAATCCCGCTGGCCCCCCAACACGATACGCTGACTGATGTTGGATATCTAAGTCTACACACTAAGCATATGGGGCCTATGGGCTGAGAATCCTAGCCTAAAGAAGGGTAGCCTTCAGTTGTGGTAGGATTATATGAACCCTTAAAGGTTGAAGGTTACCTACTGAGCTACTCAGGGGGTACGGGGGAACCCTACCATATGTTTCGTGTTCTGCACGGCTTCTATTTGTCTCAAGCCGTGCAGTTTAAGGCACTGGGGTATGACGAGGAATACTCCTGCAGGTACTACAATTCACATTACCACGAAGGCGTTACGTCACAGCATAGAACATGGCAGTTCCAGAACACATAGGGGTGCCCCAACACATCCCAAACAGTGGGATCCCATATACAGGGACACCTTAAAATCGTGCTCCCGAAATGAAGAGTCTTGCACACCCTAAACCCTAAACCTTACGAAAATCTAACCCAGAGGGTCCATATGTACTCCCATTATGGAATTAGGGTCCCAAAGCCATACTAGGGATAGTCTTTTGATACCCAAGTCCATAAAGGTAATGTATGTGGACCCTCTGGGTAACAATCCAGGCACAATAAGGATCTATACAGAGGGCTCCCTATCTCCTGAGACTCTCATATGTGGCTGGCATCCTCACTGGCGAACCTTGAATCCCAAACCAACAAAACTACTTCCGTGACCTCGACCCCCCTGGCACCACATACTGTTGTTGATAGAAATCCTGTATGCCTTAAGGACCCTAAACTATGGGAAATATGGTATATCCCTTTTTGGGGGGTAATGCAGGTTTTATATCATCAACCGTATTTACCTACCGTGTCGACTACCCTAAACCCAAGTATGAAGAACCCGATTCTGCTGGGTGCTTAATCGCAGAAGGAACTGCCTGAGCTACCACCCTGAATTTACTAAGCCCGAAACCCACCGAAACCCTAAAACCCTACTATAAACTTCTCAAGGGGTCCTAGGTACTGCTACGGGGGATGCTTTCCCAAATCATATATAATAAGGATTCCTAGTTTCGAAGCCTTACATTCTAGGCACTTTAGACCCCAATGGGTGGTTGTCAACACTATGGTCCCTTTTTGGGTCCCTATTATAATGCGGCACCTAATATTTAGGGTATGCCAAAAAGGGACCATAATTTTGACAACTACTCATATGAGCTTCCAGCCTCTTCAGGAGCACCCGTGAGCTTGGTGTCGATGCTGTCGTACTGCTGCTTGGCTGCATTCCAGACCTTGGTTTAGGATTCTAGGGATTTAGGTTTAGGGGTTTAGGGTTTCCGGGTTTAGGGGTTCGGGATTCTATGAGGGTTTAGGGTTTAGGCTTCCGGGTTCTATGAGGGTTTGGGGATGAGGGTTTGGGAAGTCCGGGTTCTAGCAGTGTTAAGCGGGGGTTGATATAGCGGGTTCTATAAGGGTTCGATTTAAGGCTTACCCTAATGGTTCAAGTATACGTATTAACAGTCAGATACTCTGCCGAAGACTACTATCCTGTACCAAAGTCCTTTGGGCTTGGGTTTCGGGCGGGCAGCCCTGACTTCAAATAACAAGACATGACACAACAGACCCCAACCCCTTACTTAAGGAATCTATCTTACATTCTAGGCTCCCAGAGGGTCCATCTACACTACCACTATGGAATTCGGCCCCCACGAAGCCATACCAGGGATCGTCTTTTAGTGCCTACTTGCATAATGGACCCGCGGGGGGGGGGTGCGTGTATTTCGACTGAATGTCTGTACTTGAGCAAGGGTATTGGAATCCGAAAGCCTCCAGACCCGCGAAACTTCCTACTTCCTAACATGAGGGCCTTAATAATTAGAATAGGGTTCCTTTAACGGGAGCCTTTAAGGGATCTATAACAAGCTTACTATAATCTAGGGAATCATTAGAATAGGGTTTTTGGGCCCACTATACTATAGGTATGACAAGGAGCCCCCAAAACAGTACAAGTAATTATTCGACCTCTGTGGGAGTAGTTCTGTCTATCGACAGCCCTCACATACGGCCATAAAGCAGATCGATTCCTGAATTGTAGGTTTTGAGGGTCAGGGTATGTCCCAAGCATTCAAGTCAAGGAGCGCGGCTTGCGACACCAAGACCCGACTTAAAGGATCATGGGACTTAGTAAGTAGGGTTCCAATGAGGGTAACTATACTTATAGCTACTTATAACCCCATTAAGGTAGTTATAACCTTGCTTACCAAGTCCCATGATCCTCCAAGTAAACCCAACAGCGCTACCAGCTACAGCCTTGGGACCATTAAGCGCTAGGCCCTAAGAAGCCCCGCACGGTACAAGGGCGATAGTCCTTAGTGTAAACATAAGAATTGGTACCTGGCTGTCTGGATACCCCACGGCCCATATGAACTGCCCAAACTCCAGAATGCTGCAACTCTGGCTTCTGAACCACAAACCATTTAAGCCATGCTGCTTCGTCTCAACTACGGCGTTGGCAGGCGAAATTCATGGCTACTACACTGGGTTTAGGGTTTCTGAGCTTCGGATTGTGGATCATGGGCTTTACAGTACCTATGCAGGAGCCCCTGGCAAGACGCAAGTATATACCGTATAGCTACATGGACCCTTGGGGATATATGTGGCTTGGAAGTTAAGTTTTAACACTCAGGCTTCCTGAAACCGAATACTTGGACGATCATGGGACTTAGCTAGACACATGTTGTAAGCTCGACAATTCGAAAAACAAGTATTAACAAGTAGAGTCTTGAACATGTTGCTCGCGCTACTTACTGAGCAAGTCCCATGATCCTTCACAGAACGCATCGAAATACGGGCCTGAAGGCAGGGGGGGAGTAAAACCGGTCAATTTCTTCAGGCCGCAGGGTTTGGGTTCTCGGGATGGAAGGAAGGGCAGATGGCACCCTATTGCGTCTAGAGCTGTCTAAACCCGAGTGCCACAGACGGAAACATGCATTTTATCATTCCAGACCCTACTTCTGAACTAAACCAGGGTGCGAACCTTGAACTATCCGGAGATTCCAATGATTTTGCAATCGAAACAAACGACCGACATTCATAGTCTGTTTTTGGGCTTCCGGCGCGCATCTCCTTCACTGCGTGTGGAAGCTGGATGAGCTTCCCTGTCCGATCATCTGTGACCTGCAGGCAGCTGATTAGGATGTCCTTAAGGGGGGGTGGTCCAAGGGGGGTAGGTAACCTAGTAATCCCCATTATTCCCCAATACTCCCTAAGCTTCCCTAAGGTTCCCCAAAGCTCCCTAGTACCCTCCCCCCTTGAACCACCCCCCCTTAAGGATCCTATAAGCTGAGGGTTCAGCTCTTCGGGGCGTTATAGGAGTCGCAAACAGTGTTTGCTTGTGAACTTACGGATGAAACCACGGACCCAAAAGCCCAACTCCCGTAATAGGAACCTTTCACCTAAACCCTAAAACCCCGAACACCACGAAAACCGACAGTCGACACCCCTTGGTAAAGGCCAAGAGCATACCGTAAACTACCATAGCCTGCTTTTTTGCAGGTTCTTGTTATAGACCCAACTGGAGCTTACAGGCACCATGTAGTGTAAACAAAGTTGATTTTGGTAGGCTAGGGCTAGGGCACTTGGAGGGTCGGGGGACTTAGTAACTTGTTGTTTTAGGGACTTATGAGTACCATAACCCCAACTAGGGTCCCTTTTCGGGTACTTATAAGTCTACTTACTACCTACTTGCTAGGTCCCCCGACCCTCCAAACAGAGGGTCCGGATGGAAAACCAAGCGCTCTTACGATCCCAAGCTGATCCCAGAAAGGATACTGGAAAGAGGCGGGTTCCCCAACAAAAGGTTCTTTTCAAGGGTTTCTATAAGTTCCTTTAAGGGGACCTGAAAGTTGCTGTAAAGGGATCTACAAGTTCTTGTAAAGGGACCTGTAAGTCGTTTAAACCGGGCTATGAGTTCATTTAAAGGGATCTACAGGGGAGCCTTCTGTAATGTGAATATCAGACGATTTTTGAACGGTTGCTACTCAGAGTATATGGGTGGAATTTCAAGCTTGCCGTTCGCGTACCCGTTCATACTGTGTTTGTTCATCGACGTATAATCATGTGCGAGTGAGTACTCACGACATGCACGGCATCGCCTGTCTAAAGATTTAATCATACATGGCCGAAGGGCTTAAGCAAACTGAACCCATCAGACCCTCAAGTCGAAAACGAGATCCACACGCAAGCAGAACCTCCACCCACACAAAACCCGTTATGGTGAACTTTACGGAACCCATGTTATTTTCAATGATATTACTCTTGCTAATATTACTATTATCATTATTAGCATCATCATCATTCATATGAAACCTCTCAGCACTAGAACGCTGAACGGCAAAACCCTAGACATGCGGGGCGCGCCTGATATTGGGACTTCAGGGCCTCCGGTGTCGGAAACAGCTGTGGGTCCTGGCGCTCCCCAGAAGCCACAAGGATTCTCTTTAAAGGCAAGTTTAAAAGGACGTATAAGGGATCCTTCGAAGGGATCTATCAGGCTTCTATAAGGGGTCTTTATAGGGGTTCTATCGGCATTTATAAGGGTACTGTAATAAGAGGAATCTATGATAGAACCCATTATAGGGGGTTCCTTTAGGGGGATCTATAGGTGGGTTCTTCCCCTCATCTTATAAGTCCCACAACCGGAGGCTTCATGACACTAGGGTCCGTATAGGCGGTTCTTATCACACAAAGAGCATCGTACCTCTTACCTACTTCAAGGATCACGGGACTGGATGCCTGGGGTTAGCAATCAGGTAACTATACTTGAAAAGCTTGAGAATGATGATCATATACCTTAAATACATAAATATATATATATATATACATATATATATATCAGAGAGAGAGAGGAAGAGAGAGAGAGAGAGCGAGCACAACTCAAGCGCATGATCCTCCAGGAAGGGTCTAAGACTCCGATGCGGGCTTGACAAAGTAGCACTTGTAGGTTGGTACTCAGGGGAGTATTTCGGGTTTAGGGTTGTATGACTGCTGCTGGTATGGTAAAGCGGAACTTGGACCCTGGGTGTCACCTATACATCCCAACCATAAAATCCTGTGCCGTGCAAGTGCCTATCCAATGCTTACAGGAAAGCTCGTCAGGACGACATAGAGCTGCGTCACGATGCCAAGCTGGAGCATCCGCCTATGTGCGGGTGCAAGATTTGGTTTTCCTTGCGTTCGCAATCGCTTCTTTGGCGTTGCATCGGGGCAGTGAAGAGGTGTGTCGATTGGTTGATTGTACATGTAAGGCTCGTCGTATCTCCCTAGACCCTAAACCCCCAGACCCCTAAATGGGTGTCATGGGATTCATGATAGCAGTCGTAATACGTCTACAGCAACCCAGGTACATAAAGCAGAATTGGATTTTCCTAAAGCCCTCGCCTGAATCCCATGTGCCTGGAATCCTCTACGGGCACCACTTCAGAAATACAAGAATCTAGCAGAATCTAGCAATTTGACAGTTGTCCTGAATGCCTGCTCCCCAGCTATCCATTAAGGGACGTTCCCTGTTTGGTTGAAATCTTTCTGTGGACACTTTTTCGCAAAAGGACCTGCAGATCCACCCTAGCACCGTGAACCCCAAAACTTCAAAGCCCAAAACAGCCCTACTCGGAGGTCCAGGTAGTTACAAATAGAGTTATAAGTAGGGCAACTATAATTATACCCCATATTAGGGACTTATAACTCTACTTATAACTACCCATAACCTCCAAGTATACCCTAAACGATGAATGCTAGGCCCGGACCCTAAACCCTGAACGGCCGTTGCCCTGAGCCTGGAACACTCAACCCCGCGGAGCTACTTGTTCAGCCTTCAGAGGGCCTGAAACTTTGGGAATAAGCTAGAAGGGCCACCACACTGTAATAGTGGTATAATAGGAATAGAATAGGGTCCTAATGGAATCCTTACAGTCACTATCACAGGGTGGGGGCAGCTTCTAAGGAATAAGGGTTTGAAGTCTAGGGGTTTGAGGGTTCAGGGCTCTACCTAAAGGGTCATACCCACCCCCTCTTTTGGGGTACCTATATTATATGTTTATTCCTAGCAAACACTACTAATGAAATTAGGTATACCTAACCCCCAAAACTGGCTGGGTATGACCCTCTGGGTATACAGTACTCGTCAGGAACCTGAGACAGCAAATAACTCATTAACCTGGCCTGCATAAACGAACAACGCCCTCCCCCGAACCTACAGCCCTGGTCGTAGAAACCCCTACTTGTCGAGTATCATGGGGAACTAAAGGTTAACCTTTATGGCTTTACATGGATGAAGTAGGGACAAAACAACCCCCAAAAAAGGTTAAAGGTTGGCTATACTACTATAGGACTCTAAACCCAGACCCCCAGACCCCAAGGACCCATAGGTCCCTTCGCAGGCCCTGTAGGCTATGAGGGCTCTACCAAAAAACCTAAACCCTAAACCCTAAACCTTCATACAACAAAAACTCCCCCAACCTGAACTGCGCTTCGCAAGTGGGCTTCAGCAGCATCTGCTTCCAGGCCCTTGGGTGCGAAGGACCCAGAGACTCCAAAACCCCTTAATTAAGGAATACCTAGGGTTCCTTTAAGGGATCTATAAGGTTTAGGGTTTAGGGGACTCCAATATCCCTTAGTTAAGGAATATACCTTAAATTATAATAGGAGCCCTAATATGATTTCAGGTATATTCCTCAATTAAGGGGTTTTGGAGGCTCTCGGGAGGATGAGGGGCCGGCTTAGCTGTATAAGGGCTTGCATAAAATCTGTTATGAGCTGTTTCCTATAAGGCTTTTCTGGGGTTTAGAGTTTAGAGTGTGCAGCTTAGGGTGTGAAGCGAATCACCTTTGAAAACCCCACCGTCAATTACGCCTGACTCAGTCACTAGGCTTTCAAACATTGTACGTATACGTACAGTTACTGTTTGTTATAAACCCGACTTAAGGTACTTTTTTTTTGCTTAATCACCTACTTACTTACTTACTTACTATTACTTATAACCCGAAATACCAATTGCTTACTATGTCCTATGATCCTCTAAGTCTCTATATCTCGCACACCTGGACCCCATAAGTATGTAGAATAAAAGCCTTTTACAGGTTTTGGGCCAGTATTGTACCTACTTTTGGGGGTCTACGTACCGTTAAATACCTATTACTTACTATGTCCTATGATCCTCTAATACATCTCCACATCTCCCGCAGTGTTCAAGCTTGAAACGATATTACCAAAGTGTGGGGCACGTGGGTCCTCGCCTTTAATCGGCTCTTAAGCATGCACGCAAGAAAGTCCCATCCCTGAACCCCACTTAAAAGGATCATAGGACAGTAGGGTTCCCTAAAGGGCTCCTTTAAGGGGATGGATAGGGGTTCTATAAGGGGGGATTTAGGACTTAGTAGCTACGGCGATAATTAGGGTAACTATACTTGTAACTACTTATAACACCAATCAAGGTACTTCTAAGCTTACTTACTAAGTCCCATGATCCTCCGAGTATACCTCTCCATTGTAGTTGTAGTTACTTTTTTGTTTACATAACCAATGATATACTAAGGATCCTATAAGGTAACCCCCAAAAGAAACTACAATGGAGACTATAGGAAAATCTTAAACCATGAACCCTCCACAACTCCAAGGTCAAAGCCGCAATGCCAAGCGCATCCAACAGGCCAAGGTTCCGGGTATCTATCGACATTTGGAGGTTCAGGGGTGGATATAAGCGGGGTTATAAGTAAGGTAACTATAGTTACAACCCACATAAGGGGACTTCCAACTCCATTTATAACTACCCATGAACCTCCGAGCAAACGCAAGCTCAAGCAGACCTCCTGGGTTTAGGGCGAGGGTTTAGGCAACTCATGCCCAACCCTGTTCACGAGGACAGCATGGGTGTTTTAAAGGCCAGTTTTGGGGCTGGGGATAGAGGATAGGCTTCTCAGGCGTGCGAGAGGTAGAACCTTCTAGTGCTATTGGGTCTCAGAACTCATGTATTTCCGTAGTGGCGTCGGAGAAACCCAAAGCCCAACACTCGAATTATAGCCTGACCAAGACCCTAAACTCTCAAAACGAACCCTCACCCTCGAACCCCAAACAGAAAAAAAACAACAACTCGTCTTAGGCAACAGAGCCCTCAACCTTCAACCGAAAACCACCCGCAAAAAAATAACCGTAAGTCAGCTGAAAGCCTGCTCGCAACTGAAAGCCTGCAAACTCCCGCGGGAGCTCAAAACAAAAGTCATGACCTCTACCTGGATCCCCCGAGGGCCCATTAATAGAGTCCTTATGGCCCTTGATGGTGGGTATCTGGGGTATATTACATGGTAGTTGGGGGGGCCTAGGTACTTGAAGCGCAAAGCTACCATGCGAGGCATGGTGCTTAAAGTACAAGGCGTAGCGACCAAGGTTTTGAACTTTGGGTTTACATTCTAGGAGTTAAGGTTTTCTGCAGGATCGACTTAGTTTACTTCGGATCCTTATTTCCTTTGTTAAGTCATGCAAAACCTTCCCGGTCGAACCCACCCGAAAATGCTCCTCAACCACGCCAGGCCCTTAACCCCCCATACCTCTACATACTCCCACCCGGAATCGTGAGTCGAGTCAGACCCTAAACCCTAAGCCCCTAAACCCCTGAACCCTACACCCCTTAACCCTGTCCTATAAACGTCAGAACTATATACCTGGACCCCAAAAACATGTAGAATAATAGCCTTTTATATGTCCGGGGCCATTATTTTACATACTTTTGGGGGTCTCGGAAAATCCGAAACCCCAGACCCCTGAACCCTAAAGCCCTAAACCCTGTAGCTGCTGAACCCTAAATCCGGAACCCTATAAACTGGGTGTCCCGGCTCAAACTTCATGCCGCGATACCTGCGATTCGGCCGATGCTTCTGGGTCCAGACAAACTACCCTAAAGGGTCCTATGTCCTAGGTATATTATGGAACCTGTAGGGTTCCTTTAAAGGGATCTTTAAGGGTTCTACAGTATAAGGGATCTATTGGGCTTGGGGGTTTAGGGTCCTATATACTGTTCTGGGGAATACTTCCCTAAGTCGTAATAGTAAATCCTACAAGGGAAACCCTACATTCTACTATATCGTTACATCGGACCCTTTGGGTAAGCGATGCAGGGGACTTTTTTTAAACCAACACTACTTCGGGTCTGATCAGATGCCCTAACCCCTAAGCCCTAACCAGCGGAGAGCTCTAAGCCCTACATCTGCAACCCTGAGCCTGTAAATTAGCATCATATAGACTCGAAACCCTAAACCCTAGACCCTGAACCCTAGACCCTGAAACCTAAACACTAAACCCTTAACCCTAAACCCTATCCTATAGAGCCACGACGCTGTCCACAGGGCCCCAGAAGGCCGAGGGCGATTGACGTACCAGCATTCTATTTGACACTTCCCGAAGCCCGCAGTCAGTTCCGCTCGCCAAAGCCAGGGTTCTTTAAAGGGACCCATAGGGTTCTATAAGGGATCTTTAAAGGGATCCATAAGGGTTCTATAAGGGATCTTTAGGGTTCCTTCACCCTCAGGCCCTAAGGCTCTAAGGACTCATATTTTAAGGCTTCTGGGCCCAAAGACCATACTATATAAGGCTTCTGGGCTATTTTGAGCCTCAGGATAAGGGTCCATGTACCAATATAGTAGATATTTGGGCCCCGCAAATATATACCATACTATTACTTGGAGCCTTTGGGAAAGTTACTCCTTCCTCTTGGCGGCTGGAGCTGCAGTGCTCTGCACCTAGGCCCGAAAATGCGGTACATGTTCTTGATTACCGGTTTTCTTTTACAGTTTACAGGATCCCAAACATAAAACAAAGTCATCACCAAGAAAGGTACTGCCTTTCATCAGAGAGGTAGGCAGCACATGGGAGGTCATCAATATGACAAAAGCGAGGAGGTGGTTTCCAACATGGCCGACTTCTTCTCTGTGCAGTTGTCGCCTTCGGCGAGACATCTGTCAGTTTGTCAGGTTTTATTGCTGACATGTGTCCGACAAGGATGCCCGCGGCCATAAGATTGCAGCAGACTTCTGATCTGCTTCTGATGCTTGAGCCGTATAGCCCACCAGTTCAGTGCACCCGAGGGCTTAAGTGGCATGAAGCGGCAAGGCGGACCCCAGACATGTTCAGTCTGTGCCGGCTTGCGCTGCGCAAGGAACTGCCCGCTTTTACAGTGGCGCCAATGCAACATACCATTTGCTTGCTAGCTTCCGAATGTGGTACACCACCCTCTCCCTGTGGATTGCACAAGCTTTGCTGCGGCAGCGCCCAGCCTTCCTTCGAGATGGTTGCATCCGTGCTGTCTTCCGAGCTCCTAGTAAACATTCCCAACCCCAAGCCTAGACACCTCAATTCCCAAACGAAAACCCGTTAATCTTCAAACCCGAAATCCCGAAAAACCCGAACCGCTAAATCCTGTAGCCTCCAACTTGAACTATACCCGAACTTTGAGCCCTAAACCAAGACCCTGCACATGCCTCACAGCGCGCTGACATGAAACTCTACGGAGCTATAGTAAGCCCCATAAAGTTGGAAACCGGATGAAGGCCAAATAGTGCTGGGATTCCCAAAACTATACTCTTAAGGATTGAGGCTATGGCGTCTGCAACTTTTGGGCTTCCACCGTAGTGCTAAACGTCTTAGGCATCCTTATGCACAAAGACCTCTGAATCCTCAGATCCTAAACGCCGCTACAACCTTAAACCCTATCCCTGGAGACTCCGAACCTTCAAAAAGAAAACACGGTTTAGGGTTTACCAGTAGTCTCCATTGTAGTTCTTTTTTGCGGTTACCTTATAGGATCCTTAATATATAATTGGTTAAACCAAAAAAGGAACATATGATTCAGGATCCTATAAGGTAACCCCAAAAAAGAACTACAATGGAGACTATAGGGTTTAGGGTAGAAACCCCGGGTCACGTCTCCAGAGCTTCTCTGGAGACTTGCGCAATGCGCCATTCGCCTGGCGCCTGCACTGAGTTGGAGGTTGTGCTTACCACGGGTTTCTCATATACATAACATGAATATGCATACATGTACATATAATTACATATGTAGGTGTGTATGTGTGTATAGAAATATATATATATATATATATATATATATGTAGGGGCAGGGAAGTTGTGGAACTTCCTAGAAATACATAGTATACCAGGTTGAGGATCTGGCAAAGTGTGAATCAGAGTGACGAGGAACACAAGGTTCAGGATGTAGCGTTTCGGCTTAGGACTTGTGACTCAACGTTCAGTGAAAATAATGCATCATTCAGGTTTTATGGTCGAGGGTTTGGAGCCTACCTGAGCTGCCGTTAACGTTCCGTCCTTTGGATGACTGATGCCTAGATGGAGGTTAAAACCTCGATGCCATGTTGCTCCATCCGTAGCATCCGAGTGTTGATCTTCAGACTGGCTTTGATGATGCTGAGAGCGCCTTCTCAAAGCATTCATCCAGTTGTCTCCCCAGCGGCCCTCAGAAACAGTTCGGTCTTATCTCTGTCACATGTCTGCTCGCTGCGCTTCGGCGTTTCGTAAGATTTCCGAACTTCTGCCCAGTACCACATCCCCCTCCGCACCATCTAGAGAACCAAATCTTCGAGAACATCATCGAAAGACAGGGAAAAACTGAGAGTGCAGGTAATTACTAGTCTCCACTTAATGAATTAAAGCCAAAAGTATACACTCGCCAATATTGCTAAGGACCCCTATACAGACTCATCAAAAGCTCTAAGGACTGAGTTGTATAATTGTAGACCCTCCTTTCTTCGCAGAAGCAACGGAAGTTATGGCGATGTATTCTATTCACCATTGTACATACCAGAGATCAGCATAGCTGTTTTCACGCTCACAGACTCCATGGGTTATCATGTCAAGGTTGAGGTTGCCATTGTAGCGGGGCCTTAAGGTTCGAGGTTAGCTTCGGACTTTCTTGCCTGGCCAAGGCCCGAAACCCATCAAGCCCCGGCCGCTACAGTACAGTCCGAAAACTTTCAACCGCAAACCCTACACCTGATATCGGAATGAGACACAGAAATAGCCAAGCCGATAGAAGAGGCCTGCCTCGGCGAAGCAGTACTCGATGCAGTCGGCAGGTGACAGATCCTGCGACACAGCCCTGGGTTTGGGGGTTATATCGGTGCATAATATACACCAGGATGTTGGGTTGAGGCCGAAGCGGCAACCGCCTGAAAGCATGAAAGCAAAGATGCAATAGCCACAAAACCCTTCTAGGATAAGCAACGGCGATGGTCTACATGAAAGTCCTGTCGTTGGCCATGTCCTTCCCTTATGGGGCCTGGAAAAACCATGAAATAATGCCCATACACAGAAACCCCTGTAGCACTCCAAAGAAGTTACAGCACCCTGATAGAACCTTCTCTTGACAGCCCGACTCCCACAGCCGTAGGCTCCTTAACCCGTTTCCTCTGGCGGTGCTAAGGATTATCTCTTCAATTCCAACCAGCTACTGTATGTGCTTCGAAGACTATTGCTCCAAAAGAAGTTGTAAAGCTTCTGACTATGGTATACCGTATACCGAAGAAATATGTCCTGATCAATGGGTACATTCGGCTCTAATGCGTACCTCTGCAGTGCTTTAAGCGTGTGCAAGCATATCGAGACCCCAGTGACACCAAGACCTGCTCTGCGTGTGAGTACTTACAGTACAATGACCCGTTGAGACCTACCTTTTTAGCACTTATATATGGAAATCATAACGAAGGAACCCTAAAAATAAAAAAGTGTGCCATTTCGGTGTTAAGGTCGGCCCTTGGGAGTGGGGGATCATGTGCTTGAGCTTCGGGAGTTGAGGAAGTGTTGCTCTACCTCAATCCTACCTAGAGGCTCATACCCTACCCCTTGTTTAGGGCGCCAAATTTCTAAGATAACAGGTCCTAACCATAAAACTAGGTATCCTAAAAGAGGGGTAGGGTATGAGCCTCTAGGTATATGGCGACAAGGGCTCTCAATAACGTGTTTTTGAAACACGACCTAAACCTTACTCCAGCCCCAGAAGCGATCCAAGGCCGCAAGAACTCCACCCACCAAACAACAGTAGCTCCAAATCATGAAAACAACACAAAACCTACCAACAAAAACAGGCTGCAGATGAATCTGGGCTAGGTCCAGTAGCCGTGCTTTAGGATTCGTTTAGGGGTTTAGGGTTTAAGGGTCGGGTTGAGGGTATACGGCTGTATAATCAACTATGAGTCTGTATAGCTCCTTCAGTCATTCTATTCTTGACAGTTCGCTTAGTGATGCTTGCCATAACCCGAAAACCTACATGTTTTGGAAACCCTGGTTATGAACTCTATATTTGTGTGTACATATGAGCGACGAAGTTTATTTGGTTTTCGGCTAAAGGACGCGCATCCTTTCTGCGGGCCCTTATCTCGTTCCCCGAGAAGGGCTGGATTTCCGATGCATGTCAGAAATTTGGGGATCTCGTTTGAGCACATGCTATAACATCTGCATGCCATAACGGTTGAATGCTGTAGCAGCAGTGACAACAACAACAACAACACCAACAACATTAGCAACAGCAGTAGCAGTAGCAGCAGCAGCAGCATTAGCAGCAGCATTAGCAGCAGCATTAGCAGCAGCAGCAGCAGCAGCAGCAGCAGCAGCAGCAGCAGCAGCAGCAGCAGCAGCAGCAGCAGCAGCAGCACCAGTAGCAGTAAGTAGCAGTAGCAGTAGCAGTAGCAGTAGCAGTAGCAGTAGCAGCTTTTGTAGCTTTGGTCGCAGCAGTCGTCAAGACAACCCAGCGGCGAAAGTGACAAGAGCAAGGCTTTGCCCCGGCGCAGTAGCGCACAGCATGTGCTGTCTCAAGCACACTTCTTGTTCCCGCCCCTAGGGGCCATTAAGCAGAACAAGTCACACGTCACGCGAAGCTTCGAAGTCAAGTCTTTCATAAATGATCAGATAAACATTTGAAGCATGCTCAGAGCTCAACTCGGTCCCCTGTACAGCTGTCCGCTCATCATCACATCGCCAATGCACTGCCTCCTGCACCAGAGTACTTACGTAGTGCCCGGACTGTGGATGCATGCCAAAATGAGTGATGTACGCAATCAGCCGGTACTTTATGATGCGTATGCCCATACCGATGCCTGTAAAGAGAGGCACTCGTAGGTTGCCCCCAATGCCCACAGCCTCCAGTCGTTTCGAGATACGCCCTCGAATATTTTTAAATCGATCAACTTGAAGAAGTAGGACTGGGGGAGCCACCGTGAAAGCTGAAACCCCATCATGATGCATCCAGTGATCCATGAGCCTTTGCACAGTTAGAGCAGCATCGAGACCAGGAGGAAGCTCCGGCATGTATAATTGGAGAGGCTGAGTGGTGAGCCCCATTTCAATGGCACTGGGTGCCCCGTCCAAGTTTTGCCGTGTTTCCCACTGACCTTGGAACAATAGGATCTCGTGTTTGGTCGCAAAGTGTGCCGCGAACTCAACGACATCGTGCTGCCTCTGAACATCGGTCCATCCACGAAGTAAGATCCTCCACAGGAAATTGCTCATCAGATTATGTGATTTCTTCAGAGAGCCGCTCCGGAGACCATCAATGAACTGAGCACATCGCCCCAGTAGTGCAAAGCGAGCTGGGTCTCGATGAAGAAGCCAGCAAATCACCTGAACAAACGAGTTGAAGTAACAATGATTGCCAGGATTTTGAAGGCGAAGCCTCAACGGCCACGCAGCATCTCCTTGATCTTCTCCACCAACGGGCTGCATTTCAACGTGTCCCTTCGGTACGCCATGCCGCCTAGTTGTAGAACCGAACATCCCTGAAGCATATGCATGGTTTTCCATGCTTCCATGGCCGCCGGCGTTCGAACTGAGATGTCCATGAGGAAGGCGGCCTGATTCGCCATCGTTTCTGTAACCTTCCGCGTGCACGAGAATCTGGTGACCGTGTCCTGATCCAGAGACTTGTATAGCAGCTGGAAGGCCTGAAGCACCTGCTGATCCGTCAAGGGGTTCCTGGAGGAGTCGGCTTCCAAATGTTTCAAGGTTGGGTTCCATCTTTGGTACCTCCAGCCGGTGGCCGGATCTCTCCATCCCATTTCGGCCGCTTTCTTTTGAAGCGACTCGTCCCCCAGTACTTTGTTGACCCTGACCTCCATCTCCCGGAAAAGTGCTATGGCCATAACAGTTCTCAATGGCTGTTGACCCGGGGCCCACATTGGGTTTTCCTGTTGTTTCTGCTTGAAAGCCCGAGCGGTCACGTAAAGGTGGTGAAGGATGCCATACTCCCCCGGGCGTAGCCACATCACTATCGAGTGATCTTGCTTGAGCACTTTTAGCTCCTCCTCTTGGCGGACCACCGCCCGCGCCAAAGAAAGAACTAATGGATCTGCCCTGCCCGATGGACCCATCGGCCTGTATGGCCTGTCTGGGTGTTCCGGCTTCCTTCGTTTGTTTGTCGTCTGACCCTCCGCCTTCACTTCGCCAAAGAAGTCCTCCAGCTCGTCGAATCCGCCCACTGCCAATTCCGCACTCCTCTTGCCACAGCAAACATAAGATTGAACCTTGCCATGCAACTGTGCACTGCTTCAAATGTGTACGCCAGTCCTTTGTCCGAACATGACAGAAGTGACAGGTCGGGCACGCAGTCGCAACACGGCTCACTTGCTGCTCTATCTGACCCTTAAGCCGATCAAGAATGTCAGCATGTGAATATTGATAGTGGCGCTTGACAGTGCGATGCGAAGCAATCCACTGGCCGCACAGGGCACATGTTTGCTTGAGCGATTGCAAGACGTCCGGAAGCTGAATGAGAGCATTCAGTCCCCGTAGAGCCGCTTCACGAACCTGAGGCTGATGGAAAATGGTGTCGCCAGTCTGAGTGGCGGGAGCTTGAGTAGTCGACGGTTCAGGTAGAGGGGGTACAAGTAGAGCAACATGATCGCTGTAGTCAGCTCCAGAACGATCGTCGCCGACCTGCTTTGCCACAGCGTTTGTGTTCATCCGGTGTGTAGCTGTCAAGTCCACATGGGTAGTGTTGGCTGAGGTGCATGCAACAGTAGGAAGTTGCGCCCCTTGGAGCGCCGCTTGAGGACACCTGCGCTTGATGATGTGGTCTGCCAAGGTCTGCCATCTGCTAAACTTCTTCTCACAGAACCGACAGATGGGGAGGCCTCGGATCGAATGTAGTGTTTTGTCGAAAGCGACCTGATCATCCACTATGCCATGCATGCGTCTTGCGTGCCATTTGAGAGCGGCCTGGGTGTTGAAGATGTTGTCACAAGCTGGACACGCCCAGATTGCCGTCTCTGTGTCCTGAGAAGATGGTGGACTGATTTGCTGGAGTCGGCTTTGAAGGTGCAGTTGCCATTCCGCCTCGTACATCCAGTCAGTATGTTGTTCTTGAGCCTCGCCAGCACGGCTTAGCTCGGTATGCAGTAGGTCCGCTGCCAAGGGGATGTGGTATCTTCTGATGATGACTTCATGCTTGTTCCCTGTCAAATGTGCCTGGTTCGAAATGATGGCCCGGACATGTTTCATGATGACCCGGTTGGACGTCCTCGACTTGATCTCCTGTGAGCCCACATGTGCTCAAACCATACAGAAGAGACGAGAGAACGCTGCTTTGCCATATGCGAAGCTTAAGCTTGATCGATATCCTGCGAGTGCAAGAATGATGCCAGCGCCCATCGCCTTCCATTGGCCTTTGAAATGCGATGTCTCATGGTTTGGAGTTCAAGTTGTTGATAGGACACGATGGTGCCTAGGTACTCCGTGTTCTGCACCAGGACCAACCACTTGTCCGGATTCCTGGGAGATAGCAGCAACCTGTGCCCTGCATTGGTTTTCCGGATGAAGGCTTTGCGAACCTTGTGCTTGAGGGTGCCCACCATCTTGAGGATGGCCTTGCTTTTCTCAAGGTTGATTTTCATGTGGAATTTGCGAAAGCAGGCAAATACATGACACACTTCTTGCATGATGGCCTCGAATTGCTCAAAAGATTGAAACCGCCAACGTAGGTGTGAGTCGTCGGCGTATTTGGTCAGGTGGTCTTGCACCCAGCTGCCTCCAAGTTGCGAGTTGATGCTGACACATAGCAAAGCTGTATATGCAGCCCACAGACAAGGGGAGGCTTT